AGTTATAGTAATATTACTATAACTCTTTCCTATCTATTAATAGACTACTATAAAATTTTGAACAATCTGCGTCATCTTGTATGTACCTTTTTTAATGGCTTAAAGTGGACAAACTCGTGAAATGTCAACAGAAATGGAAGAAGACGAATATTTCGTGGATAGAATATTATCTATCCAGAATATTCTCCATCCAAAATATTTTCTATCCAGCATATTTACATCTAGCGTATATTCCTATCCAGCATATTCTCCAGATTTTGGTCCCTGCGATTGTTTCCTTTTTGCAAACGTCAGGATGTGGGTAGAAGGTCAAAGATTTGAATCAAGTCAAATTTAGGTTTGAGAAAACCTATTATTTGAAAAAAATTAGAAAACCGCTAGACTAAATACATCAAGGTAAAATAATACATTTTTTTGGAGAAAAAAGTTTATTATTTACAAAATCAGTGAATTGTCAATATTCCCTCGTAGGCTTAATTTCTTTAATTCTAACTTCAAATATTTGTACAATAATTATAAGGTACTTAATAATTCTTAATACTTTTGTTTTATACAATGATATACAATGATTAGATAAGATGACCTTTTTTTAGACTGAATTAATATTCTCTACCATCAGATAATCAGATATGTTTGTAACCAGGATTCCTGCTTATGTGACTGTAAACAATATTTTGTTCTACTTTAACAAGTTCAAATTTTCTAATTTTGATTTATTTTATAAAACATTAATTAAGTTAATTTATCATAAAAGCATGTATTTCTAGAATTACAGTTCATTTACTGTTGTCTTTATTCTAATTGCAAAGACAAAAAATTAAATATTAATATATAAATTTATTATAATTCAAATATTTAGAATGCATTATATGCATATACATAGATCCAAACGTTAGTATTTCTTTCGTATGTTTGCATGACATCTAGTTGGCTCGTTAATGCAGGGCTTGCAGTCATAACTTTCACTTATTCATAATTTATTATTCAAACGCAAAATTTAGTGAATAATTGTATAATTGCGCCACCTTAATTTTCACCTAAAAGAATGCTTTCATTTTCATACACGATGACATCATTTAGAGTACTTGTTTTTTTGGGTAAACGGTGTCTTCAGTTCTAACGATAGATGTAGCCACTGGATACTTATTCGTTTGACTATATTAATGTTGCAACAGAATTCAGACATGTTATTATTCTATCAAGAGTAATATGTATCACTAACACAAATAGAAATACTAATCTTACGGAGAGTACTTTTTTTAAAATTATCTAGGAATTTTTAATTTTTGTCGTTTCTAGTAAGTGACGTAGGTCTTGCAATAGGATCAGTAATATGAATAATTTGTATAGAGTTATTTTTGTTAACCAACAAAAGGCCGGCGATCTACGTATTGACTCAATATTAGGACCTGTTGACAAACATGTTTTTAGCTTGATATCTGATATTGTTGTAACTGTAACTGTTAATTTCTACGCAGATAAAGCTCAATACAATTTTAAAAGGGTACTATTATTATATTACATGTATTAAGTACTTTTGCTTTGAATAATTGCATTTTTTACATGACTAGTTTTACAGATTATAATACAAATAAATGTGCACTTTATATAATAAAGAATATTTTTTGAGTAAGAGTGAGGTTTTTTAATAAAAACGACCTTAAAAGACCTTAATAATAAATGTATACTTTTAGTATAAGAAATAACATAATTATTTCTATTATATATTGCATAGCTATTAAAAATTTTTGTTTCTTTTAAGAATATATATTGTTACGTCCTTATGGCGTTTTTTAAGAAATTGAAGTACATGTTTATTGTTTACAGTATTTGGATTAATGACACCTTGTTCGAGCACATTTTCTCCTAACATTTTGTTGCATATGTTGATATATGTTATACAAATAAAACGTTGATGTCACAAGTGGTGCAATTTTAGGGCCATATAATCTACGTGTGTAACCTTTGTCCCTATCGTAAGCGTAAATTTTCGTAAACACGGGATAATGAATCAAAAAATAGGTTTTTGTTGTACTGTTACTGTCTGCAGTAAGAAGTTTACGTATACAAGTAAGAAAATGGCATGAAAAAGTAAAAAGACAAAATTTTAATTTAATTAAGTTTATTTTTTTATATAATTTTTTATTGCTATTCAAAGAAATCTGTTCATTATTTTCGCAGACTTAAAATTGTGAATTAAATTTAAATTTTATGCAATTATAGGGATCAGCTAATGTTTCACGGAATACGTTTTAATTTCAGAAAACAAATATACATAACATTTTATGACTTCACTGAGTTACCGATCTCGTCTAAATACCCATATTATTCTTCAACATATGTACCGTTTACATATGACTATCGACAGATAGACATTAAAACAAGTAAAAAATTTCTTTTAAAAATGTAAATATCTAATACTATTATTTGTAATAGGATCTATTTTTTATAACTTTTCCTAATTTTATTTTAATTTAGGTATTTTAATGAATTGTATAGTTATTATAAAAAAGATTTTTGTTTTATAATGATAAAATGGAGCACCGATTATTTGTCCAAGTAGTTTATTTCGTACTTCATAATTTCTCTATATTAGAGGTGCACGCCGAGCTCCACAGTTCAATATCATAAGATCTCTTAATATAGGTGAATGCATAGTTATTTCGATTTTTATTAATCGAAAATTAAAATTGAAAATTAAAATTTAAAATTTGTTTTTATGCTCAGATTTCTGGTAGTAAAGATGCATACTATAAATTGGGAAATACAAATCTCTTAGATACAGAACGATAATACCTAACTTTGGCAACCGTCGAAGAGAACCAGCATTTTACAGCGAAACCGACCGCCGCACAGTCCGCAAAATAAAATTAGACGATCAAAATTCAGTATTTTTCAAATTAATAGCGATATTAAAAGCATATTTGCCTTAAATACAGTTTTTTAGATGGGTTTTCTTTTGAATGTAACTTCAACCTCAATGAATTATCAAAAACTCTCCAAATTTGAGCACATTGACCATTTTTTATTTTTTAGAATATTTTAAAAATTATACTAGGTAAAAAAGTTAAATTTGGTATAATAAATACTTCTACTATATTACTAAAGTCCAAAAAGTTTTATGATGTTCCGCTTACTGCAGCACCCAACCCTTATACAAAATTTTCACAAAAATATGTATATTTATTACATACCTATGTTTCATATAAAATTTTAGTGAAATTGAGATTTCGCAAAAATTTGACCAAATTTAAACCTTCATAACTTTTTTTTACTTATTAAAAAACAATCATTTTTTATGTTTTTTAAAGCTTAAATTATTATTAATTAATTATTAATTAGTTATTAATTAATTATTAATTAATACAAAAAAATGATCAATTTTAATTAACAGTAAAATTTTATTAATGAAAATGTACAAAGACTCAGCTATTTTTTTATGACCAGTATCCTAGTTTTTTTTACAAAATTTTTCTAACTAATAGACAAATATTAAAACTGTACAAAAAACAAAAAAATGTTCTTCACTCTCTATTTTTTTATATATATTACAGATCCCAGAAATCAATGAAAACGTGTCGTTTTTCGCACCCCACTCCAAGTTTACCAATAGTAACAAATCTCAATAATATAATTGAAAATGAGAAAAATTTGTTATAATTATGCACCTATCTAATATATGGCTTTTAAAACTTTAAGGCAGGAATTTAAAGCATTACCACGACCAGTAGAGCAGGTCTTTCAAAACGTGAACAATCTGTTGCATATTTCAGTTTAAATAAAATTTTATAATCCAATTTTTATTTTTTATAAAATTATATGAAATTATTTACAATTTTTAGAATACAAAAAGGTATTACGTGAAACGTAATGCAAAGAAGGCAACCCTCAATTTTAATGCTTAAAAACTGTCATGTTCAACGAGTCATGAATTTTTAATTTTTGTTTTACATTTGTTTTACACAACTTTTGGATTAAATAAATTTAATGGCTCTTTACAATTAATTTCTTTTTTTCTTTAGAATTTTGTTTTTTTTTTTACTGACACTGACATTTTTTAAACCCCAAAAAAAGTGCGTTAATTACAGAGATTTTATTATAAATATATTCAGGCTCTTCGAATTATCATCAGGATTTAAGTAAATAAACAAAACAAAGAAAAATTAAGCGAAAAAAACAAATTTTGGAGCCAAGAAAAGTTGAAGGCATAAGAAGCGGCAAGAAAAGAATGAAAATCAAGTGTTAAGCATAATCAACCCATAATAATACCATTGACAGCTGCTAATGGAGTTAACACCAAAGCTGATAAAATAAAGAAAAATAAAACAAAAACAAATATTAAGGAGAAGAGTCATCCAAGTGAAAATGACAGTTAAAGGCATTAAAGGTATATGCGGTACGATGAGCAAAGACATAAACACAGACAAAAACAAAAGCATTAACAACAAAAAAAATAGTAGAGCAGAAAATAACAAGAAGACAATATCCCAAACCAAACAAATATCCTTAATTAAGGCACACGGCATAGCACAACATGGCACTGGCACTGGCACAGGCACAACACTGAATTGAACTGAAGCTGAAAGGTTTGACATTGAGCTCATAATTCAATTGAATTGCGTCTTCTTTTGTTTTCATCTCTACTACAACAGAAAGCATAATAACACAATTTTTGTAAAAAAGCAACAACAAAAATTACAACAACAAAATAAATGCTGAATTGCGAATAAAAGTAATGATGATTCTTGGGAAAGGATGCTGTAAACAATACACTCAATCTCTATTTCCTTTTAAGCATAGCACACTAGAATTTAAGTGACCTAGCAATCAGGATGAAAATGTGGGTGTAGTATTTGTGTAGCCTGGCAAACAGCTATCAATAATGCATCACGTTAAACATACGCAGTTTCGAATAAAGATACACTATGCCAACCAAAAACAATAACAAAAAACCTAAACATTTTAGAACAAAAGCAATTTTTGTACAAAAACCGAACAAAGGTCACTAATTTTGTAATTTTGTAAAGATTTTGTCTCAAAAAAGAAGACCACAAACAGGTCAAAAACATTCGAAAACTTAATTAAAACAATCCAATTGAATAACAGAAAACAGACACGTATAGACCAAAAGAGTAGGGGCAAAGGAGAAAAAATTTCAGTCGTCGGAAAATAATTCGAAAAACTGTTAAAATGGGGAGCCTGCCAAATTTACATGAATTGGAGCAAATGGAACGCAAACGTCAAAAACGCCGAGAGCGTGAACAGCGTGAGCAACTACGAGAACAAAGAGCGCGGGACTCTAGTCGAGAAAGAGAACGTTTGGCAATGTTTGCTCATCGCAAAGTGAGTACAATAAAATTTTCTTTATTATATTTTATATAACGTGTATTTACTTGGGTATATTTATGTGTGCGTACCACGTGAACTAGTGCAGTTACTTTAAAATTGTGTTAACAGCTGATAAATTTATCAACCCAAATTGAGTTATTTTAGATTGGTGCACATAAAATTTTTTTAAAGGCTATTTAAAAAAAAAATATCAATTTTCCTCACAATCTCAGTTGATATTTTTGATTTCAACCAAATATTAATATTTAATTTAAAATTTTTCATAAAATTTTAATAGCATTCATCTTATAATGCATATCTGATGGCTGGTCTCGGTATGGGTGGAGGCACATTAGGTATGGCAGCTGCGCACATAGCTGGTGCAACAGCAACTGGTGGCGGTAATGTTAGTAGTGGAGCAGGAGCTGCTGCTACGTCAGCTACAACAACAGCAGCGGCAATGGGTGGTGTTGCTGCCATGGGTGGCACTGCATTATTTGGTATAAGCACACCCGTAGGCATAATAAACAAGTACCATCAACAGCATCATCATCATCGTCATTCATTGACAACTAGGCATCGCGTTTTGCGTACACGCAGTTCCGGTGCAACACACAGTATTTTTGATGAGCAAATGATGGAGGTAAGCAGTCAGGGTTATAATACTCATAATACAATAAGTTGTATGTTAAGGTATGATTAGAAAGATTTGTGCGTGGGCAGATAGATACTCGAATGTTCGAATTTCCACGAATTGCAAATCATTTTTGATATGCTTATTTTGAATTTTTTATATAATGACAAGAAATGATTTGATTTGAAAAATGATTTTTTATATAATAAGTGATAAGATAAATGACGATAAAAGTTAAATAGTGAGATTATTTTTGTTTTCAATAAAATTCATTAAATTTTAAACAAAAATATAATTGCTATATATTTTGCATTTGACCTGCTGATTTAATATAATAGTATGTATATTACATATTTTTTCTATGATTTTACTAAGTAGTACCTAAAATTTTAAACGCATATATATAGCTATTTGTTGAACTAAATAAATTTAAATCTGCACACAATTTACTTTCATAATGTAAGGAGAGATTTCTTATATTAACTGAATTGAATTTTAAACATTTTAGATAAAAATTGGCAATTAACATAGCAATTTTTAATTTCACCCTCTTTGTGCACAATTCAAATTTTAAATGAAATATAACCACTTTAACAAGTTTAAAATATTAAAAAAAATTCAATTTGTATGTACTTTTGTTTACGGTATATTATAAAAACAAAAACAGTATATTTGACTCCATTTATAATCATTTTCTTAAAGTGATTAAAGTTTTTTTATGTAATTTATAATCCATTTCATATATGCTGACTTTTTTTTTTTTAATTAGCTTTATTATAAATGAGTATTGGGCTATCAGTCAGATTTTGTAATTTGGTTTTTTTTTAAAATTTTTTCCCTGATGATGGTTTTAAAAAACCGAAACGTCGGAAATAAATATTAAATAAGTAAAATAATAAGAAAAATTTTTTATTAAAAAAACCAAATTACAAAATCTGACTGATAGCCCAATACTCATTTATAATAAAGGTAATTTATAATATTAATATTTAATATTTGTCAAATCATAAAAGTTCCCACTATTAATAAATTTATTTTCAAAACATGTAGTAAAAATTTAATAGAATTGAATAATGATCATAAAAGTCTTCACTGACTTACCCCAGTGTGGCAACATCAAAACTAAATGATAGCAAAAAATAAGCCGCTGTCCTCTTGCAAAAGAATTTCACAACAAAATCTTAATGTTATTAACGGTTAATTATCAACTGTTTTTTCAAATATTCGAAACATTTGTTTTCACATATTTAAGTAGAAAATTAATAGATTTATTTAAATCACTTGTTGTTAAACCAATTTTAATATATATATAAAATTAATAATATATTTAGTTTTCTTTAATTGACTACATTAACACATCACTAAATTCAATATGGCGTTTTACAGTTTTTAACTGTACGTTATCCAAAACTTTTTATACAAAATATTTTAATAATATTTTTCAAAATATAAAACATTTATTATAAATACACTTATTCATTTATTTTTATTAACTTTAATATTTTATAATCATTGTTAAAAATAAAATTTAACTGCGTCAAACTTTTGCCAACATTTCACATCAGCATAATTTTATAACTGCTTTTTATGATTTCTTTGTTTGCTCATTTTCGCCGCTGTTTGATCATAATATCAGCAAATTAGACTTGCATTGAAGAAAACTTATTCAAAGCGAATTGGATTACAACTCCTAGAGAAATGGAGATTTAAAAAATTTAACTTTTTTACAATTATTTTTTTGATTAATTATAAATTATTTAAAAAAAAAATGTGTTTATAATAATATATAAATAAATCATATTATAGAAAAAAAATCAAAAATGTTAACATTGAAAATGTTTATACAACCTTTTTGTGTTTAACTTTTGTTTATTCTAATGCGTATATATATATTTGTATATGTGTACAGTAGCTACAGTTTAGAGTAATGATGCCATAAAAATTAAAAGTTACAATGCTGTTTTATTCGTATTCCTGTATATATTTGTCAAATCGACCGAAATATATATGAAATTAATTTATTATTTTAAGTCATAGACAATGTTACATTTTAAAAGTTTGAATCAATTATTTTAGTAAATGAAATTTCGAAATTTTATAAAATAAAAAATATTTTTAGTATGTTTGAAACTAGGTGGTTTTTTTTTATTTCAGAAATGAATTCGTATTTAATTTATTTTTCATATATTATATGATATATATATCAAAAGACTCTGAAAACTATAAATAACATTTTTAGCTCATTTTTATATTAATTAAATTTAATTGTTTAAATTGTCTACATATTTAAATAAAACTCAATCATTTAAATAAAATTCATTTGAATTCAAAATAAATTCATTGACAATATTTTATCTTACAGCACTTAGCTGCTTATTCTCCAATATCAACACGCTCACACCGTATAAATCCTGTATCATCCTATCAAGTGCAAGCTGCTTTGGCAGCATCCCGACGTCGCGAAAGTATTAACAGTTCAATTGGTGCAACATCGATACGACGTCTTATTACGCTGAATAATCGCAACTGCCGTTATAAAGTACCTCCTCACGTTCGTCAAAAGGTATGCAAGAGCTTTACATTTCTAACTATAGCACATGGATTTATGTGCGCCATACTCTTACCACTACTGGCTTTACAAGGTTCCAATTCAGTATGGCATCACCGGGAAAATTGGTTACATGTGGGACCGAACATAGGATCATATTTACTTAGTCTCTGCTTTCTTATATCGGCGGGCATGTGCATGTTAACTACTCAACTTATACGTAAGTTCGGTTACACGATATTAGTTGGTGCTAGTTATGTGGCTGTGGTTTTATTTCTGTTATGCCACCTCTATCCATCGATTTATACATTAGCACCGGCATATATATTATTGGGCTTTACTCTTAGTCCGTCATGGATAAGTAAAGTTGCACTTATTGTTCATTATGGTAGTAAACTAAGTTGCTCGCAGCATGAATGTACGCTGGCAACATCACATGCTGTGGATCCATTGGATGAGCATAAAATGTTTTGTAATCGTGATCAAAAAGTACGACGCTTGGCACGTTTATTTCAAGCATCTCAAGATATAGGTATAATTTTAGGAGCACTAATCGCTTCTGTAGTCTTAGCTTGTACAAGCAATGATTGGAATTGCTTTACCAGTAGCCCTAAGGAATTCTTGCGTTTGTCCACTATGTCAACAGCTGCTGTCAATAATTCACTTTCAAATAATATATTGTCCACAAGTTCCACACTACGTCCCCCCTATATTTTACCGCGCGAACCGAACTATTTTGATGATTTTTATAATCTAAACGAGCATGGTGAACGTATATGTGGTGCTGATATGTGCCCTGTGTGGCGACAAAAAGAAGCTACGGATGCAAATAGCTTGGACTCAAATGAAACCATTTACAAACAGTTTATAAATGGCAATGCTCGTAATGGTGGTTTTATGCTGATAATTATATATTTTATATTTTCCATTATTGCACTTTGTTGCTCGATTTTAACTGGAAAAGTGCGTGGCATTGCGTTTCGTAATGAACGCATCAGTATAACAGATACTATACTATTTGCTGGACCAATGGCATATTTCATTGGGACTGAACAAGCCTACATGATGGGTGATTTTCTAAGAGTAAGTAATTATAATAAGAATACAAATGAATTTCTTAACTTATATAAATTTGAAAAAATTATTTTTTTAGGCATTTGTTTCGTGTTCAATTGGGATAAGCATGGTTGCTGGTGCTCTGGTTGGTATGGGTATCATGCAATCTATTGTCTCCTGTACATTGAGTATGTTATTAAGGCATACTAAACGCATTGTTGTTATAGGTAAGTATTCAAATAACTTAACATTTATTCATAAATCAATAATGAAGCAATCAGAAATATAACTAGTTTAAAGATATATTTTTATATTTTTTCTAATGTAAGTATATAGAACTTATATATAGAACTTATAGAAAACTTTGTATATACATATTTTAGTTGCTGGTTTCTTCTACCACTCTTGTCTACTACTTGCGCTGTCTAGTTGGAAACCCTCTAGCGATGATAGCGCTTTATTTTACGTGCTTGCAGCTTCTTGGGGCGCATGCAATGCAATGTGGGAGACATTGCTAATGGCATTGGTAACATTGAACCATACAAATCATGTGGTTGAGGTTACTGCACCATTACAATCCCTACGCTTTCTTGGACTCGCTATTACATTTGCAGCTCATGGTTTTATGTGCGAAACCCATAAATTATTGATTTTAGTTATTATACTGGTAGTAAGTGTACCGCCTTATACAATGTTAGAAATGCGTCTTGAGGCTCAACGTAAGGCACACATGATCAACTTATGACGAAGTATCTTCAGTTAGTCAAGACATTGCCGCGGTACTGTCGCCCGTACTCAGACTATGTAAACAGTGCCGCCGTATATATAATTAATGCATTTAGAAATACCAATAAAATACGTAAATTTTTATAGAGTTTAGTTTAACAGAATTTAATAATTAATAATAATTTTTTAAGATTGAAAAGTACTTATAAAGACCTATACCATAATGTAATTATAGAAAAATATGCAAATTTAAGTGAACCTTAATCATTAAGTTTTATATAAACAATTTTATTTTGATTCGTGTACAATTAACATAATGTTTATAAATATAATAATATTTGATAGATCATATATACTAATATTATTTTAATAATTTTATAGTAAACGAAACAGTATTATAATTTTAATATATCTGAAATAAGATTATAATTACGAATTAATATTAAATTAATTCAGTATAAACATAAAAAAAAATTAATAAAATTATTTTTATATGATTACTCGGTCGGCATTAAAAGAATTTTTTACTAATATAAGAATAGGAACTACAATTTAAAACTAATTAAGAGAAAATATGTGTATTTAAATTGAAGCCTTCATAACTAAAAATAAATTTAAAACATTTAATATTACTTAAAATAGCAATTTACACTTTCTTTTTATATATGCAGAAAAAATTGCACCGAAATTATGACTTTGCGATTTCATAGGAACTGAGATAACATATATATTAATTACTTTTTTATTTTTATTTTATTAAGTCTCAACAAATTAGAAATAATATATTTTTGTTACAAAATTCAGTTGAAAGTATATCTTAGTTTAGTTTTTATGTAAGGATAATGGTGTTTTGTATTATAGGCGTAAAAAAGAGTATCTATAAATTTTAGAATAATTGTTTATTGACAAATAAAAATAAACTTTTAAAAACTTAAAAAAAAAAAATTTATAAAATAATATGTTAAATGTTAATTATACAATAATTTAAATAAAAAATATACAATATAAATTCAATAGTCATCCTTTTAAGTAACGCAGAGTCAATATATAAATCACTGTTTTCAGACCAAATATAGAAGATCTATTGAACTCTATTCCACTGGCAACCTCAATCTCTCTTACATGTTTTCTGGTTAAAGCTTATTTTTATTAAAAAAAAATATTAATTATAATTAAACGAGCAATGAAAAATAATTAAGTATTATCATAAAATGAAATACTTGTGTTAACATTTCAATAAATAACAGATTGAATTGAGAGAAACAGGGTAGTAAACAAACAGAGATAGAAGGAAATATGAATGGTTGAAATGAAAAATAAAGTTTAATTTAAATCTAATTGTTTAGATAATTTAGATAAAATAAGTAAAAGGTAGAAGTGAAGAACTGAAAAATAAAAATTGTAATAGAAAAGTAAAGAAAATTAAAATTGAGAATATAGAAAGAATTATATTTGTTTTTTTTTTTAATTCTTGCGGATCGAGTTTTCATATGAACGCGATATCTGTTAAAATAAAATAGTTATTCAATTAAATAGATTTAGAAGTTAACAAGAATCCAGTGAAAAGGAGCACTGCGACCATAATAAATTTTTTGTACTAAATGTATATATAAGGAAACTAAATAAATATTTTGTCTAATTTTTTTTGTTAGAATCAGTTAAATTCCATATTACTGAAAAACAATTTTTCTTTAGTACTCGTAATACTTGTATTTAATTATTCGTAAATAATTATTTTTTGAGACTGCAAGAAACAGGAATCGAACTCGGGTCCTGCCAAATGTGAAGCTCAGAATCAACGCACCTTAACCAACTGATCCAAAGTCGTACTTGACTTTTTTGTTCGCATATTTTTCTGGAGTTTTATTACTTTTAACTATGAAAGTTTTTATTAACAATTTTACTTGCTATGTTTATATTAGAACGAAATCATAAACCAGCTGTAGAATAATTGAATTAATTAATTAATTATATTTTTATTTTTATTGTTAAATTTCAATACTATTCTTTTCTACATAAATCTACCCCATTTATTCCAATTATACTAATAGTTTAATATGCTATTATATATATATATATATATATATATTATATATATATATATATATATACTTTTATCAATTTTAGTTTTACATTTTGTTTTAGTCATTAGTTTGTTTGTTTATCAGAAATACTTAAAAAAAAAAACAAAAGAGATAATTATTGATAAAAAAAATATGTTCTTTAATAAATATGTTTAATAAATCAGTAGTTAAAATTATATATTAAACAATAATTATTCTCATATATTTTTGATATAAAATAATCTCTTAAGCAATGGACTCGAACAGCCATGTAATGTATGAAATACGCAAAACGAAGCTGAGGTAGAACTTTATGGGAGAAAAAGTTGTAGCAGATTATTTCATATAGAAATAGATATATCTTTGTAGATATTTCTTATTCCCAAAGCTCAAATTACCAAGAAGTAGACATCTATGAGCCCATGAGAAAATTTGTAGAGACTATAATAAAAGTATGTATATGTATGCAACTCAAAATATTAATACATTAATAATAATATATATATATATTTATATATTATACTAATAGTTTAATATTCTATTATATATATATATATATATTCTATTAATGTATTAATATTTTGAGTTGCATACATATACATACTTTTATTATAGTCTCTACAAATTTTCTCATGGGTTCATAGATGTCTACTTCTTGGTAATTTGAGCTTTGGGAATAAGAAATATCTACAAAGATATATCTATTTCTATATGCGAAATAATCTGCTACAACTTTTTCTCCCATAAAATTCTACCTCAGCTTCGTTTTGTGTATTTCATACATTACATGGCTGTTCGAGTCGAGAGATTATTTTATGAGAATAATTATTGTTTAATATATAATTTTAACTACTGATTTATTAAACATATTTATTAAAGAACATATTTTTTTTATCAATAATTATCTCTTTTGTTTTTTTTTTTAAGTATTTCTGATAAACAAACAAACTAATGACTAAAACAAAATGTAAAACTAAAATTGATAAAAGTATCAATAATGATGAATTAATATTATCGTCAATTCAATAAAAAAGAAGGAATAAATAATAATGTGAAATTAAAAAAAAATATTAAAAACTAAATTAAAATATATATTATATAGTAAAAATATCTACTAGTTTAAATAGGTATACAACGACATATCAAAATGTTGGTTTTAAATAAATTGCATTAAATAGTTTAACTAAAATAAATTTAAATTAAAAACTGAATAAAATTTTTAATTAAACATAATTTATTAAAAATAAATAGAAATTTAAATAGTTTAAAATATAAAAATTTAATATTACTAAAGCCACCAAGTATAATAATTCATATATTCAAGAAATATTTTGAATTTTAAAATTAAATTCACTATTCAAATTAAATACACAATTATTTAAATTAAAATCTAAACACATAAATTAATATATATAATTGAAAATGAACTTTATATGGCATTTTTATATTTTATCACAATTGCATAGATCATTATTACTTCACAAGATTGTATATTTTTTTTAAATATTAAAATTTCTATATATTCCAACGCCACTGCACTATAGGTAATACTTATTCCTTTTAGTGATAGAATAATCTATTTCCACTAACGAAATAAAAAGAAATGTTTATATTAATTTTATAATTATAAAATATTTTTTAATTTCAAAGAATGTATTATTCACCAACTAAGCTGTATAACTATACGAATTTCATACCTTTAGTAATCTCATAGTTTTACTCTTTTACGTTATGTATATTAAAAAAATTATTACATATCTAAGAGATTTATAATGTTGATTATGTTTATAATAAATCCAAGAGATTTATATATAGCTTGAAGCTATTTAAAGTAAATGTTATAGTTCCCATTTATTGTTATAGGTCTAGTCTCAAAATATAAATTAGTATATTTTCGGAAATCCCTTAACAAAAATTTAACTAAAATCTAAGTACTAAACAGGTAAAATATAATTTTAATATTTAAATCAATTACTTCGCCTGAAAATTATATGTAATAATATAATTTGTGAGTCTATATTTGTATTCTATTTATTTATAATTAACATCTATTATTTTAATTCTTCTTTATATTAAGTTTTTATATCATTCTTCGTTAAATAGTTTTTAAAAATCAGTGGAGTATTCATAAACATATATTTATATAAATTTTTTAATTATTTTTAACCATTTCTTCAACTGCCAAACTATACATAATTTTATAGTCAATAATTTTTAATAAAAATTTTTCCACTTAGATGTTCTTAGAGAGTCCCACCTAAATTTATCTGTATATCAAAAAAGTAAAATTGAAGTCTTAATATTATTAATCATATGACATATTTATACATATTTTATATATAAATAAAATGAATATATATTAAACCATACTTTTAAATGCAGAACTATGATGTTTAATTGTTAGAAAAAAAATTTTTTATTTAACCTCACTATTTCTAAGCATTTTTGGAATCATTCTACACTTTATAAACAGATTTTTTCATTTAAATGTCACATATACTTTGAATTAGTTATCAATAACCCCTCCAAAATAAAACTTTGTATACGTTCATGCTCAAATGGTCTGGTTTAAGACTTATGTTAAGGCAAGTATTACTGAATTCTATGTAAATTTCACAATTTCTGCCTAACAAAAATAACAGAATGTTCTAGATACTCTTCAAGAATCTTAGTCATTTGAATAGAGTATTTAAAAAATATTTGTAATATAATACAATTATGTTAATTTATATTAAGGACAGCTCTTTTATAATCAAGTTTATATTTTGAAAGCTTAATTCAATCGATTCTTTATGAGTATCTGGCACTCGAATAATTATGAGACAAACTAATGATGTCGTGAGTTATACTTAGAGAGAAAAAAATTATTGGGGATAAGTCTAATGACAAAAGTATATTTTGCATCCCAGTGAAAAGAACTTTTATATATACAAAAACCTTTTTTTAATTATATATCCTTCAAATTTAAGTAAATAAGTAACTACAAGAGAGGTTACCAAAATTAATTATATAAATAAATGGATATTATATTTCCCTCATTAAATTCGATATGACATTTTTGCAATAACC